CTGTTTTAAAACTTCATGCCCCCTCCCCCCTCTCCCGCCCGTCAACCGACTCCCCGGGCCGCTGTGACGCACCTTGTCGCGGTCGCCCCTGGTGCTCCCACCTTTCCAGATGCGGCCATCACTGTCATGCCGACCCCATCCCGCTGCACCGGATTCGCTCCAACCCGACTCGTGGCTGCCGTCGGAGCACATGTGCCGCCGGCAAAAAAGGCGCCCCCGGCCAAATCCTGTGGTGGCAGCACCAAGCGGCCGCCGTGCAACCCCGCCGCCCTCAACGTGCTTGACGAAATGTCGCAAAGGTTAAAACAAATAATTTTCTTTATTGATTGTTCTTTTCTCATGTCCCATACGAGTATCAGGTGAGATTGTGTGACGTGCATTTCTAGTCTTGATCATGAGACATTCATGCGCATGACAAGTGTCACAAACGAAGATTTATCTCTCTCAAGTATATGCACTGCTAGAATATGATACTCAACTTGATGATGAGAATCTCGACATGGAGGAGGGCTTCATTGGCAGTGTGAAGGGAAGAACCACAAATTATTTGAACACCGAAGATGTGTTGATTTGTATAGCGTGGAAGCCATTCTCTCTTGATGCATCCTTGGGTAAAACATGGTGTTCCTCTTTTTTCTGTTACTATCAAGCTAAAATCATCAGCTTGGGACCCCTTACCCAAGATCTGTCGGATTCAACCCCGACATTGGTGGCCCATACAGGTCCCGCTGTGTGGTCAAAACGGTCTAATGGCATCATCGCTCAACGAACTGATCCACTCCGGCATAGTTTCTACGCTGGAGCACCTAAACCTCGGTTCAACCGAAGCATTTCACCGAGACATCGATGTCGACAACCCAAACTTTCTGGATACTTCCTCGGCCATGACTTTAGGTCTGGCCAAGGAGCCATAGGGGATCACCGCCCAATTGTCGGTTTCGCACTAGCTGGGGACGAAAGTTACATTTCACCAGATCAAGCATGGAGCTCGGTTCCGATGAATCACAATGATGGCCAGAATAGCCAGGCTGCACAGGCGATCCCAAGGTCTATACTAGTTCAACCTCGTGAAACCTCACCAGGAGGCCGATGTCAGACCGGTTTGAAATAAAAATTTCTCACCCAACCCCCATGTCACCTATTGCCCCGATAACTCAGGGGCAGCAGACATCTGGGATCTAGCTCTCATCATACAAAAGACAAAAGAAACATTTTGACAGTTCTACATGAGATTCTTATTCGTCAAGAAAAAAATCCCAGATTGTATGAAATGGGAGGCCTTAGCGGCACTCCTTCACAACTGTTACGACGAAGGAATCAGAAAAACTATGGCACCAAAACACCCCAGAATGTCTGCCGGTCTATTTGGTATAGTAACAAGATACTGCGTTATGGACGATGCCTGGTTGGCCAATCAACGGTACCAGAATCTGAGGCAGGAACAACCCGAGCCAGGCGAGGATGGCAGACGCCCGCATCGTAACCGACGCCCAAAGCGCTCCAGCACCAATAGATCCGAAGATCAGCTGACACGGAAGAAAAAACAACCAGCTAAGGGACCCAAATCGACGCTAGACGTGATATTGGACTAGCGCAATTCACTCCGTCTGCTCAGATAAACCGCCGACACACATGCTTCAAGCATGCTAGATTGTAAGGAAGGTAGTAAGGGGAGGAGTGAAACTCCTCGACAACCTTGGTGTATTAACAAGCCGTGGAATTACACCTAGCTATTTCGAGCAATCGTACGAAGACAAGGAGGTGGTAATGATATACGACACTCACTCCTTCAGAAATCAACGGAAAAGAGCTCTTCGAGAGATCTGCCACGTCAACCATGTAGTGACCTCAAATAACAGATGGTCGGACATGCTGATCACTTTTGATTGGGAGGACCAAACGATGGGACCTCACGGCCAAGGATTTGCGGCCCTTGTCCTCGACCCTATCATTGATGGCTATCGACTGACCAAGTCCTCATGGACGGCAGCAGCAGCCTAAACCTCATTTATGAGGGCACTTTGCAAAAGATGTGGTTCGACAGATAACGCATCGAACCAAGATGGACTACCTTTAAAGGGATAGTCGCAGTCCGATGAGCTTAAGATGGTAGAGGATAGGGCCCTCAAGTTTATGTTCATGGACACAAGCGGCCTTGACCCCAAGCAAAAAGCGTATGTTGAGCTTTGTCGCGATGAAATGATCATGAAAAAGACTATGCTCATGAGAAACATGATGGGAGGAGGAATGTGAGGTTCCACGGGTGGAACGAGAGGAGGAATGGGTAGAATAGGAGGTGCCATCGGTGGAATGGGAGGAATGGGAGGTGGCATGGGCGGTGGAATTGGTGGAAGGGGTGGCTACATGAACATGATGGGAAGTGCCACGGGTGGTGCCTTTGGTGGCAATGTGGGTGGTGTCTTTGGTGGCAACATGGGTGGTGCCTTCAGTGGCAACATGGATGGTGGCTTCGGTGAAAACTTGAGTGGCACGGGAGGTGGCTTCGGTAGCAACATGAGTGGCATGTGAGGTTCTTCCGGTGGAGGTGGCGGCATTGATGCATCAACGCATGAGAACGTTGAGAAAGAACCCATTAGTGATGATGCCAATGTCCATAATGTGACAAGTGACAACGAAGAGGATGAAAGTTGAGATGCTATGTTTTATCTTGTGTTTACGTGCACTTTTATTTGTTGGATCATGAACTTTATTTGATATGATGCATTTTTGTTTGTTGGATTATGAACTTTGTTTGCTATGGAAGTTGAGTTCATATTGAAATTGAAATGTTGTTTATTTTATATGTCCATGTGATATTTTGATTCGAATGAGTGCAGTTGCAGTGTTGCCGGAGTGCGGCTATAACACTGCTACCGCACGGTCGTTGACCATCTTTACATCACCTGTTAGAGCGGCGGCTGCGCGGCTCATGTATTTTACATCATGTTTTGGAGTTGGGTGTATTTTGATGATGTAAATTTTACATCTAGCATTTTATGGTAATGTATTTTACATCATCTATTAAAGATACTTTTACTTGTCCAACGAGACCAGCCGACGACTCGGTCGCTAGCCTGTAGGAGGCCTCGGCCATCTACGAAACTACAATGGCACTCCTCAGCCGGTAGCTTTGACAGAAACCACCGCTGATACAACTGTAAAACATATCTTGAGCACCTCGCGTGGGGGCTCGTCTTGGTGCCATTTTCTTTCCAAGTGTCATTTTTCTTAGAAAATGAGATTAAACCCTAGCCTTTGCATTAAAAACTGCACACAATTATTTTTATTAAATTATTTAATAAAGATTTACAAGATAAAACACGAATTCTTCTGAAGCCACTTTCTAGGCGATAAGTGTGGCCACACCACAAAACTTGATGATGGGGGTGGTCATAATCAGGGTCGCCTATGCTCATTGAGAGATTTGGATTTTCCCCCTCAACTAGTAAGATGCCCAAGCTACGCCACGAAACCAGGTGGAATGCGGTGGGGGAGAAAGTATGGAGCCAAAAATAACAGAGAGATTTTTCAGAGAGTATATAATCACATTAAACAAGAGTCTTTGTTGTTCAATGACACCCTTAACACAAATAGGATTTATGTGGAGCCACAAAATTAGTAAGAGTCCATCCCATACGAATTAAGAGATTTTTAGTGCAGAGTTGGTACTCAGAAGCATGCCACAAAATTGCAAGATCTAACATCGACATACACCAGGATGGGATGATCTTATACGGCTACCGCCACACATTTTGTATCTTGAAATGCCAATACTTACTCATACACCAGCATAATTTGGCCATCAAAGATCCACCCATGCATGGTCTTTCACATGTTTCACAGTTCTTTCCTCGCATGTGTATTGCTTCATTACCTAAAGCAAGCAGGAACAACTCAAGAGTTGCATGCAGTAGCCCAAAACGTCTAGGAATTCTGAACACTGTGGAAGAAAATTTTAGAATCCAAGATTCTGTCTCATACATGGCCCTTGTGAAGTTCATTAAGCCATAATCCATTTGAAATCATTACTCAGTTAGGCCATAAGCATGGAAGATGATGAGAATCCAAAATTACAATCATGAGCTGCAGTTCAGTAAGTTATAATATGATTGGTTCAAGAATTAATTAGGCAGACATGGTGTACATGTGGTGTGGAGACGTATAGAAAGCAGAAAATAAAGAGGCATCATGAGCTTGGATGGAAATGTAAGCGCTCGACGTGGTGCGGTGCCGCGCTCGAGAGGCCGCGGTGCAGTTTGATGTGGTGTGGCACTGCGCTTGTTAGGACGCGGTCCAGTTCTGGAGCTTGCACGCCCGCAGGGAATCCGACCGGACATGTGGTGGGTGGTTAGGCCTCCAGGCGACGACGAGCGAGGAGACATGCAGGAGTTGCAGCTTCCACGCTTCAGCGGTGGTGAGTCATCAGCAATCGGTGCCGGCGGCGGGTGCAGCCTCCACGCAGTACACACGAGAGCGAGCGAGGGTCGCGCCGCGACGGAAACAGAGCGTGGATCCGGGGAGGATTCGGGTGGCGGCATGGCAATTTGAATTTTGAACCAAGGCTTTCGTGAGTCATGATACGGGAAGAGTAATTGACGAAGCTCAGCAGCACCGAGGCACTGGATTGGTGCAGGCCTGGAGGAGCTGA